TAAGCTGTAGTGCCTCTTCACTTCACTGAGCAATTACCTTTTGTGCAATACTTTTTGTTAATAGTCAACGGTGCAATAGACTCCATACTTGAAATGTGCATTTCACTTGTATTTTTATTTTTATTCCTATTTATTCTATTTATCCCCTTTGTATATTTTATCTATATATGTCTTTGTATTTATATATGTATATATATATATATGTATATATATAATATTCTGTAACTCTGTAACTTCTGTCGGCGCTGTGCTTTTTTGGAAACCAAATTTCCCAGAGGAACCCACTCGAGGGATTAATAAAGTTTTATCTTATCTTATCTTAGCTATGGATGAAATGCAGGTTTGGTAGAGGCTACAAATACACACAGCCACTCTATCACGTGAGCACACTGCTCCAACGTGCTACGGTTACGAGCCGAGTTACGACGTGTTGCAAGTTTTGTGAGGTGCTTTTTTGATATTTAATGGATCAATTACATTTTTTATTTCTCTCCGATATCAGATCCAGTAATTTACGTCAGTATCGGACCGATACCGATACGTAATATCGGATCGGTCCATCTCTACTTATTAGTGGAGCTAATGTGGCTGTAATTAAGGAATTTAATTTAAGACAGCACTACAAGACAAAACGTCAGGATAAGCTGAAAAACCTAAATGCAGAGCAGAAACTACAGAAAGTAGAAGAGCTAAAGAAAAATCTGACATTTCAGCAGACATTTTTCACCAGAGCAAAATCACAAAGTGAAGCTGTTGTGAAAGCAAATTTTATTGTAGCAGAGGAGCCAAATCAGCCCGGTACCACTCTGAAGAACTGCATGATGAAGCTGTGCAATGTCTTGTGTCCAGACAAAACGCAGATTTTGGCAAATGTGAGCCTGAGGAGAAATACAATTGCTGATCGGGTTTGTGAGATGGCCACTGATTTAAGAACACAGTTGTGTGAAAGAAGCAAAAACTTTATTGCATACTCTCTTGCTGTGGATGAAAGTACAAACATGATGGACATTGCACAGCTGACCATCTTCATCCGTGGAGAGGAAATATTGAACATTAAATCGATGCACGGGACAACAACAAGAAAAGACATTTTTGAAAATGTATGTCAAAGTGTAACCGACATGAAACTGCCATGGGACAAACTTGTTGGACTTACAAGAGATGGAGCGCCGGTGTTGTGCGATGAAAAAAGCGGACTAGTTAGCAGGATGCGAGTAAAGATGCAGGAGGAGAACTGTACCGGTGAGTTAACAGCATATCACTGCATCATACACCAGGAAACGCTGTGTGGTAAAGTCCTAAAAATGGAGCATGTAATGATCACCGTAACGCAAACCGTAAATTTTATCTGAACTAAAAGTTTAAATCACCATCAATTTCAGTCTTTTATGTGGGAAATAGATTCAGAATTTGCCGAGTTGGGATAAAAATTCTCAATAGAGTTTTTGAGCTCAGCAATGAAATCTGTCAGTTCATGGACATGACATGTATGATGTGGTGAAGGCATTTCAAGTGAAGCTGTCACAAACGCACCAGTGCAACCTGCCTTACCTTCCCTGTTGCCAAGCAATGTTGAACCAAGTCAGCGGACTTTGCTGAACTGCACCTGTGCAGATTCAGATGGAGCTGCAGTGTAATGATACACTCAAGGGAAAGTACGACACTGAATGGCCCGCACAGTTTATTAGTTCCATTCCTGAAGCAATGCCCCAGCTCCGTCTACATGCGGCTCGAACCTTGTGTATGCTTTCATTTATTTTTTCTGGGGTTTTTGGCAGTGTGTTCATATTTCTAACTTGCATAATTTTGACAGGATATTTAAAGTTAAATTTTTTTTTAAAAGTTTATTTAATCTGGAATAATATTCCTGTCCGTTTTTATTCATATTTATGTTTAAAAAACATTGTTTTAGTTTGTTCAATAAATCTTTATCTTGTTTGGCCCGCGACCTAAAGTGTGCCTTGAGTTTTGGCCCCCTGTGCAATTGAGTTTGACACCCCTGGCCTAGACCAACGAGCCACGGACTGTGCTCACATCTGGAGCTCTGAAAGTACAGACTTAAATCGGCCTTCAAATTCAAGCGGGAATGTTTTTAAGCCCTCTTCAGTATCCATTTTTGTACTTTCAGGCCTTTGCTACTGACAAGCTCCAACAGGGATGACTCCAGAGGGACTGCACACAATGAATGAGAAAAAAGGGTTCCCAGTCATCCAGGTCATGGTAGTCTGATGAGCTTTGTAAGAAAGCAGCTGGAATTCTCTAAGTTTCTTGAAGCCCTTTCACCCCTCATCTGAGAACCTTCGTTAGATCTAAAACTAAATGTTAGAGAGTCCCAGGTATTTAAACCTCAGATGGGGTTGTCTTTACCAGGGTCGCTGACCAACTATGAAACATATCACATGAGCCAAGGTGTGAAAAAAGGTGTGGGTAATTATCAGCAGCGGTTTTGGGTGAAACCATTATGAGACCTTGACATTTGTAGTTTAACTTCTTTACACTGAAATGGAATGGCCTCAATTTCAATCAGACCTTGTGAGCTCTAAAGACAGGATATTTCTAATTTTAGAGATATTGCAAAAATGGAAGAAAGCAGTCTTACATATTTTTTTAATATGTGCATTGAAGGACATATCCTGGTCAAAATGACTCCAAGGTTCCTCACAGTGTTACTGGAGGCCAAGCTAATGCCATCCAGAGTAAGATTCTGGTTAGATACCATATTTCCAAAATACCAAAGATGCCAAAATAAGACTTTTTTAGGCCTTCAGTTAATCCAAAATGCTGCAGCAAGAGTACTGCCAGGGACTGGAAAGAGAGAGCAGATTTCTCCTGTATTGGCTTCCCTTCATTGGCTCCCTGTTAAATCAAGAATTGAATTCAAAATCCTGCTCCTCACATACAAGGTCTTAAATAACCAGACCCCATCTTATCATGATGACCTGTATACTGCTCTCAATAGAAATAAATGGGAGTATAATCGAATACAAAGTATAACCTTTCAAATTTAAGGGGAAGGACTTAATTAAAAAACCTGAACTGCTGAAAGGAGTAATTGTTAGGTAAGTAATATGTACAGAAATGGCTGAAAAATTTGAGAGGAATATTTTCCTGCACGTTTGCTCAGTTTAAAAAAATGTAGCAGCAATCCAGAATTCGTCTTCTTCTTCTTCTAAAACAATTGTACAAACTACCTTTCTGATGAAGATGATGATGAGTTGGGGAGATGATTTGTCATCTTGTGAATTAGTAGATTTGTTTGTGATAAGAGCCAGATCTGAGATGCTGCTGCGGTCTGTCATCTTTCAAAGTGACTTTGTGGAGGTCTCCTTCCACAAATGCTGATGAACTTCTTGGTAATAGTTGGAGTGATCTATGCACTTCACCTATTACTACAATTATACCAAGGGACTCTGAACAACACTGTATTCATTCACTAGTTTGGTAAACTGCCGTCCAACTTAGAGACTCGAGGAAGTCTGAATCACTGTATCACAGCACAGTATCTTATTTTATTTTTAGTCATTTATTTCAGTTTTTGTTGCACTAACTGAAATAAATTTATGATGTTTTGAACATGAATCTTAACCAAGCAAGTATTGAAAAATAACAGAACCAGGACAATGAGGAATGCGAAAGGTGACCTTCCACGTTGTTATGGCACGTGCCGGGTTATGGATTAAATCCAGTGGAATTACGCTCCCCTGGTAATAGACGTTCCAGCCCTGTATTGCAGCCCTAAACCATAACCTTATCCCTAAGCCTAACCATAACCTTATTTCTAACCGTAACCAGCACTTTAATGACGTGAAATAGTGTTTTCCCAAGCAATTTTAAGGAAAAGAGCAAACATGTGTAGATTGAGTCCAAACGGTTCTCACATGTCCTCAGTTTTCCGATGTCATCATGTAGGAACGTGTTGGGTGCCCGAAAACGTAATATGTTGATGATTTGTTACCTAGCGTAAAATGTTACGCTTTGGGAGTGAGAACGTGTTGTAGAAAGGATTCAGAAAGTTTATTCATGCAGGCCCATATGACAGAGAATATGCATGTTCTTTTTGTTTTCATGTTTTAATTTATATTTAATTGTGTTGTGGTTTGTAGCGTTTTCTGTTGTTTCATTTTAAATTTGTTTAAAAGGAAAAAGCTGAAAATTTAAATAGTTAAAAGTTGAAATGTGACTAGTTGTTTTTTGTATTCTATGATTTATTTATTACATTTTATGTGGAGTGAATAAATAAAAGTATATTTACGGTGGCCCCTAGAGACAGAGCACATACAAACTTCAAAACACGTACAAACTCTGAAGCACGTACAAACCCTGAAGCACGTACAAACCCTGAAGCACGTAAATCTCCAAAACACGTACAAAATACAACAGAAGTGCTCCAGAATGCTAGGCGCAGTGTTGAGGTTTTGTTACCTAGTGGCTACACAAGCCAGCAAGTACCAACGACCGCATTTGGTGTGCGGTAGTAACAGGTAAATGAACATTTTTTGTTTAATTATTTGAATATATATGAGTGCTTGTGTATAAATACACAAACCATACACATATGCTTTCAATTGTGTAATTTAAGTAATCTAGGTAGCTCTGTTTTGGAAGTTCAGTTAACTCTAGGAATGTGTTTTGGAGTATGTACGTGCTTTGGAATTTGTACGTGCTTTTTGGAGTTTGTACGTGCTTTGTCTCTAGGGGCCACCACATATATTTATATATAAACATATATAAATAAAACAACTTTTTTACATTAGTAATTCCTTTTGTGCATAATTTTATATTATTGTTTAAAATTAAAGCAACAAAACAACCTGAAGAGCCGGTTCGGAGCTGAAAGAGCCGGCTCTTTTTAGTGAGCCGAGCCTAAAGATCCGGTTCTCTAAAAAGAGCTGGAAATCCCATCACTAGAAGGAACAATCAGTCCTCCAAAACATCAACTATTTTATGTAAGAACATGAAAGCTGTGCAGATTTGATGATTTCTAGAGAACTTGTTCATCAGATCTTTTTGAATAATAGCCCTAACTAATCAATATTTGATGTGTCTTTGAGTTGGCCTGGGTTGTGGGTTTTTGTTTATATAACATAAATCTGGCAGCCGGAGTGATGCTATGAATCAAAATCCTGGCAGCTGATAATGCTGACTGGCCAACTTACAATCTATCTACTATTATCCCTATGGTAGTGGTAAATCTCAAGTATTCCCAAGATTACATGTAAATTGCCTCTGAAACTTCATTCTGTGTCTAATGCAGAATCAGAAGGAGTCCTTCCTCCTAGGTGCTCAAGCAGAAGGACTGGTTGGAGGTTTAACTACTTTCAGGGGTCACTGATGGTGCCTCAGGAAGTTGGGTAGTGTGTTTAGCAGCAGAGCAGAGCTTCGGGTCACGTCAGCTCACAGGTGAATCTCAGCAGTAGAATGGTGGATAATGTGAAGGAGTGCCGACCGACTGCTGTGTTGATGGCTGCACACAAACAAGACAAAATTCAAATGCTGATGTAACAACCTCCTATCCAAGCATGTTGTATTTGTACTGTCAACCAGCCAGTTTATCCTGTTATCTATCAATCCAGTACACGTGTGTGTGTGTGTGTGTGTGTGTGTGTGTGTGTGCGCGCGCAGAACTCCAAAGTTTGAAAATGATCACAAATACATCAAAGTGTCACACTGACAAACACACTGTGCTTTCTTCTAACTACACACCTGGTGCATAAATACTATATAAATAAATAAAAACTACAAACAGTTTCAAAAATAAACCTTGTACTGTAAAAACTTTTGACACATTGATTCATCACTTAATTCAATGCCTTTAACTGTTTTCTATCATAAATTTGCAATTTGGGATTCAGTATCTTCACTCAGGGCACTGTGGACTGGAAGAGCCAGGGACTGAACCACCGACCTTTGAGTAGCAGATAACCTGCCCTACCTCCTGGAGGTAATCAGATTATGTGTAGTTATTAAAACGTGCTGGAAACTTCCAAAAAACCCACGCCTCGAGGTCACTCTCTTTTTATACTTCTTGTTTTTCTTTTAGACTCGTGCAAAGTTGCCAACGTCACAGTTGTAGCTGTACCGAAACTGACGTACCAATGTAATGTTCTTTTCCTCTCTTCAGTCTTGGGTTGTCTGTAAAAACACAAGATTCGCTTTGAGAAGACCGAAAGCACTGACTGATCAGAACTAATCCCTACACAAGCAACTCACCAAACACGATCAGGCGGGTGTGGGTATCCGTGGAGCCCAGAGGATTCTGGGCTGTGCAGCGAAACATGGAGCCATTGAGCTCAGCAGGGACTCTCTCCAGGATGAGTTCCCTTCCGTTATGGACTGCTCTGCCATCAAGCAGATCCCCACCAACCTTGGTCCAAGTGAACATTGGCTCAGGGAAGACTTCACTCTGTGGACACACAGGTATGTGAGGATGAGAAGCATTTAAAATTTTATGCTAGTGAAACTGTCACAGCTATCCAACAGAAGTACTACAAGTTTAGATTTTTAAACTTCACAATGATTTTTAGAGTCTCTGTGTTGAATACTCACTGCAGACGGTCCCAGCTGGAAGCCCTGGACAGTGATCCGCACTGTATCTCCCACTTTGGCTTTACTGGGACTCATGGACAGCTTAGGTCCTCTGGGAGCAGCTAAGAGGAAAAATGTAAAAATAACACACTGGACACTGAACACATGTGACTGGATTTAAAAACAACTCTGTTTGCATGTTAGCTAGGCCAGTTAGTGAATGACTCACCCAATGTGACCTCAGCTTGCATGGGCATGGATAGAGCTGGGTGGTTGACCTCACAGCTGAATAGAGCCTCATTGTCAAGTTGGGGGTTGAGGCTCCAGGTTAGCATGGCTCTAACCTCCATGGTGCCATCGCCTGCTGCCTGCTGCCGGTGATAGAAGTAATAGAGAGGGTCAGTAGTCTGAACCCAGCGGGGAAATTCCCTGCTCACTATTGTCTCAGGGATAATCTCAGTGGTTTCCTCAGGATTCAGTTCAGACTCTTCTTCTTGGCCCTGAGAGTCAACAGGTCCATTATGGTCTATCCTGGCCTGCTTCTCCTCTTGCTCCAGCAGGGTCCTCTGGAGTTTGGTGTCATCAACATCTCGACTGGTCAACACCTGGGTACTCCAAAGCCCTGCCTGGTTCATAGTCCAGCTCTTTTTGTGACCTGGGCTCTTACTTTGAACTCCTACTGAAGAAAAAGACTGGGCTGTTGGCACAACATCAATAAGCTCACCATCTCTCTTGAAGTATACCTAAACAGCAGAGAGAGAAAAACTTAGCTCACTAGGCATTTTGAAGACATTTAATCATAAGTCAAGTTCAGCTGGAGAATTCCATTGTGTGTGTTAAAGTTAGTAGGATAGCACAGAAATGTGAGTCTCATCCACAGCTGTAAAATTTTTAAAAATGCTGGCAGCCACCAGTGCTACCCCTCAGGCTCCTCCTCCATAGATCTATGGTTTAAATCTGAAATCTTCCAGGTGATTTTCAGAAAAGTTGACCTTTGACCTTGACCTTGACCTTGAAGTTGAGGTCACTGAGGTTCAAACGCATCTGAGATTTTTAGTATTTGCACCTGTGCTATTAATTAATTTGGAAGTCCATGCCGCCTGTTTTCCCACCCGCCCAGTAGATAATAATAACTCAGCCTTTTACGGCTAAGCAGCAACCAGGAAAATCTAATAGTCGTCAGGTTGTAATTTTTACAAGTCTATGATATAGACACCAACTTGGACATTATCAAGGTTATTGGCAGTTGCACTTGCTCCTGTTGTCTTCACTGATAGCAGACACTTCTCAGGGGTTGGTAGTGCTAAGACAACTTTACATACAGGATTTGTGCCCCGTGTGGCAACATGTTTAGATTTATCTTTGTTTTTAGTCATTTAGGTTTAGGCATCCAAACAGGGCTGTGAGACATGGCTTACAGTGCAGAAGGGGGAAAATTAAATAGGAACAGGGTGAATAACAAAATCTAACCATCCTTTCAGTGTACATAAGAGCTTTTGCATTTTGCTATAAGATGGGTCTGCATTGTTCTTGCTCTATTGCTTTTTTATTTTGTAGTGGCATTTTCAGCAAGAATTGTATCCATCTATTTAATTCTGCTTATCTAGTTCAGGGTCACTGCCTGCGATAGGGCTAAAACTATCTCCGCTGAGGGCAAGAGGGAGGGAAGGAGGGAGGGAGGGTAGCCAGAATTATGTTTCTAAAATAACATTGCCTCTAATTCTGTTGGCTGCATAAGTGGAAAACACAAAAGCATACTGTAAATAAAGGAGCAGTCACTGCACTGCTGATTGTTGGAGTTTTCCTGCTTACAGCCACATAATATTCTCCAATATTAATTCCCAATGCAATAAATTCCCAATTCCAATGTTCAAAAGAGGTCATTCAGGGTACAGAACACAGTTTTAAATAGCTTTTTTGCTTCCAAATTTCCAACTGCTGTAGGGTGCATCAAGTAGGGGTTATTGCTCTTTTTATGTGAGCACCAACCAAATCCAGCAGTGCACACTAAATTAATTCTGCAGTGAAAGAAAGAGCACAGTTTTCAACTCTATCAGGAAAATATTTGAGTTGTTTCCATATTCATAAATAGGCTGATGATCAACAATTAAGTTATCCTTCCTCACATACTTAGCAGTGATGTAAATACCAAATCTTTCAAGAGAGGTAAAGACATAAAAATTCTCCATCTTACCATGGGAGCTGGTTTTGCTCCTGTAACAATGCAAACCAGAGTGAAGTTTTGAGCCTCGTAACGGCTGAATGGAGCTGGGCTGTTGGCCACCACCACAGAGATAGACTTTGGAGGTACTGGAGAGAAAATACAATGACCAAGGCAGTCAAAGAGGAAGGTGCTTTCATTTCATTGAAGGTGTGTTTAATGAAGCTGAGCTGACACTGGAGTGCAAAAACCTTAAAGAGCAAAAATTTCAAAACATTACAATAATGTTTTTTAGTATTTCTTATTACCCCAGTGTAATGAATTCTTCCTATAAAATATACACCAATGGCAAATTATAACCAAACTATAGCTATAATGAAATACTTTACAATACTTCCATAAATTACTACAGAAAAAGATATACATGGTGCCAAGAGAAAACCACTGATACAGCCAGAGATGTTCATGGGACAACATGAGTATGAATACATACCTATGACAGTGAGGGTGATACTGCTAGAGGCTAGAATAACTTTGTCTCTGGAATTTCTGTCATAAACCCCTACATGGCACTCATACAAGCCATCATCCTCCATGTGAACTTCTGGAAGTCTGTTTCATGCACAGATTTACAAGAATAACAAAGGATAATTTTTATTAACAACTCAGATTTTCTGTGGAAAATTATCATAGAGCATAACAAAAACACTATTTCAGTGTACTAGTCTCACCGCACTGTTGACTGGTATACTAGGTCCTCCCGTTTGCGGTTGTCCTCCATGTTGGAGTAGCTAGTGTTGTACATGGTATTATAGCTGAAAATCTTTTGCTTGGTACTGGCTCCTTCAATAATCTGCCAGGGAGAAGTACATTAGAATTAGAATCAATTGAACTAGAGGAGGCGGACCCTATAGATATGAATTTATGCACGCCTCAGCTTCCAAGCAGATACACCTATGGTATCAGTTTCAAAATCTTATGTGATTTCCGTCTCAAGTTATCGCTTTACAACATTTCAGAAAGCTTGACCTCTGACCTCTAACCTTCAAGTTAAGGTCACTGAGATTCAAAATTGTCTGAGAGTTTTAGTAGACACGCCTATGGTATCAATTTGAAAGTCCTATATCAGCCTTGACATGTGCAATTTGCCAACCCCAACATAAAAAAGTAAAAAATGTATTTCCAGTTTTTGTGTTGAGATTAGTTGACTAACGCAGCGGTTGAAGAACATCCCATTTCTTTGCCATGAGAAACTCTTAGGTGTATTTTGCAGCTGGCTTTGGGTCAGGATCAGTTTTGCATCATTTGACTGAATCTAAGCATTAAATATAGCCCTGTTCACTTCAGAAGTCAGACTGACATAGCAGCCACATCAATAAATCCATTTGTAAAATTAGATAAACACACTGGCACATGCTGGCACATCACGGGCTGTTGCTTTTCCATTATCATATTTTTCTCTTCCCATGATTCTGGTATAAATTTATCTTGTCTATTTCATATCTGCCCAAAGATTTTTTTCCCCCCTTAACTATGCAGGCTCTGTTTTTTGGAAAAGTGCAATCTGGCCCTTCTGCTGAGTGTAACCGGTGTTTGCACCTTGTTGTAAATCAGAATCAGAATACTTTATTATTCCCGAAGGAAATTATAGGTTACATCAGGCAGTACGCTAAGGGTGCATGCGCACTTACAAAGGAACCTTCTGACCAACCTTTACACAAACATCACATTGGGAAGACATGTCAGAGAGGTAGGCTGATAGGAAAAAAGAACAAAAATACATAACATGAGGTGAGAGGAGGAGAGAAAAACTCCACTCAGACTTAGCTCCGAATGGGAGAACAGTTTGAGAACAGAAAAAAAACACTTCAGCACAAAAAGCACATGACTATCAATACACCATAGAAACACAAGACAGGCAACAGGGGCCTGAAAACTGAAAGCTCTGCCTCCCATTCTACTTTTAAATACTGTAGGAACCAAAAGTAAACCATATAACCTGTTGAGGTAATTCCTCCATCACTAGATCTCTCCACACCTCCTCCATGCCTTTGCCAAGGACAAAGGCAGACTGCAGCGTGTCATACCCTCCACTGATGTGCATACCAGGACACTGAGATGGGCAAAGAAGATTGCTGCTGACCCCTCATGCCCTGGGCATCATCTATTTTTGACACTCCCCTCTGGCACGAAGCCGCTGTCCATCAGAACCAACTCATCTCACAGCATAAGAATAGTTCTTTCCCAATTATAGTTTATAGTTTCTTTTTGTGTGACTCCTCATCCAGATCATGGCTCAGTAAATGTGTTACAGTAACACAGTTATTTACTCAGGCTATAAAGACTTTGCACATCATTTCCTATCTACATTTTGCACTCCCCTCACTCATAATCTTACATATTTGTTAATTTATCATTTGTATTCTATAACTGTAGGTACTAGGTATTATATATTTCTTTTATGTGTATTTATTGTTAATATTTATACAGTGATGTATATATTACATATACTGTAAATGCTTTGCACCATAACACCACAGCAAGATCCACGCACAAACTTGGCAATAAAAGTCATTTTGACTCTGATTCAGTCTGAGAGCCAAGTGTTTGGTTGGGGTGATGCGGTACTATTAGGTCTTCAAGATAAGATGGGGCCTTATTATTCAAGACCTTGCAATGTGATGACAAGGATTTTGATTCTGGATTTAACAGGGAGCCAATGAAGAGAAGCCAGTACTGGAGAAATCTGCTCTCTCTTTCTAGTCCCTGTCAGTACTCTTGTTGCAGCATTACACACGCAAGATCATCATTCAGCTCAAAGCACTAACTTTACCTGTTCGCTTTCCCGAAACCACACAATCTCTTTCAGGCTGCCATCTGTTTGGAAGTTGCACTTGAGTGTGACTGTATCTCCAATGACGACAGGAGGAAGAGATTCACTAGTAACGGTTAAATAACCTGCCAAGAAGAAAACAGAGGAAGATAAGACTCCTGCAGTCAATAGAAAGGTTCTGCACAGTCAATAGTCCTGTAGTTTCTTATACTATTCACTGCTGCTCTGTTGTATATACATCAAGGCTGAGGCATGTTGTTGCTGAGGACTTTATTTATTTGAAAGCTGTACTCCCCAAATTCCACCAACATGTTAAGTGCTCTACCAGGGGCAACAGGACACTGGACCATGGGCACAGTAACATCAAGCGACACCCCTCCCCCACCTCTGACAATATGACCACTCCTCTCTGCTCTTCATCCATTTTTAAACCATCCTCAGGAAACAAACCCCTCCAAGCACCCAGGTCACTAAAACATGGCCAGATGATGCTCTCATCCAGCTACAAGTTTTGATCTGACAGAGTGATTCATCTTTGAACAGCAGGACCTGGAGAGCTTCACTTAGTCTGTCCTTTTCTACATTAAGTGCTGTGTTGAGAATATAACAGTTTTTCCTAACTGGAAACCTTGGATCACGAGAGAAGTACAGGCTCTGATCAGAACTGGTAACTCTGCCTTCCGGCTGAGGGAAAGTTTTCTGTACAGCACTGCCAGAGCCAACTCTAGGAGGGGTGTCAAACAAGATAAGGAGGCTCACAGGAGGAGGATGAGGCCTTCAGTTTCACACTTAGCAGAGCAGCTCAACAACTTCTTCGCTCAGCGTCACCTGACCTCCCCGTCCTTCTCACCCAGCACTCTCCCTTTAGGAGCATGAGGTAAGGAGGCAACTGAGAGCGGTGAACTCCAAGAGAGCTTCCTGGCCATGATGGCATGGGGCTGTGGTCAAAGCCTGTGCGGACCAACTGGGAGGGGATCTTCATCAGGTTGTTTAACCTCTGCCTGACTCATGCCACCATTACCACCTGTCTGAAGGCCTACATTATGATTCCCATTCCCTAAAAGCCTGTAATAGATTGCCTCAATGACTACAGACCCCTAAATCTGCAGTCATGAAGTGTTTCGAGTGTCTCAGCACATCAGAGACCTACTGCCCTCTCTGGACCCCTACCACTTTGCTTACAGAGCAAATCAGTCCACAGAGGATACCACCTGATCCTGTATCACTCACCACTTTCCTCACCAACCAGCCCAAATCAGTCAGACTCAGCCCCAGCCTCTACCCCCACTGTCACTTTCTTACTCCTGACTTCCTCGTGTAGTACCACAGTTTCTAGCACCCTATCGTATGCTTTCTTTGGAGCTTCCTTCTGACCTTCTTAATTAACAATCCCAAAACAAACATTGCATCTTTATTGCTCTTTCTTGGCCTGAAGTCATACTGCTGCTTGCTAAATGTCACCTCTCTTCTTAATCTAGATTCAGTACTCTCTCCCACATCGTCATGCTATGGCTCATCAGCTTTGTCCTTCTGTAGTGATCTCCTTTGGCTCTGCACATCACTCTTGTTCTTGAAATCACTACCAGTGCGCTTGTTCTCAGTTCCTCAGACATCCTCTCACCCTCCAAGACTGTGTTAAACTACCTGGTTAGACAGTCCACTGCACTCTCTCCTATCTTTTTGCTAAAGCATATAGTTAGGGCTGGACCAGGTGACCCTGAATCCTCCCTTAGTTATGCTGCAATAGATGTAGGCTGCCGGGGGATTCCCATGATGCATTGAGTTTTTCCTTTCCAGTCACCTTTCTCGCTCTCTATGTATTAACAGACCTCTCTGTGTTGAATCATATCTGTTATTAACCTCTGTCTCTCTTCCACAGCATGTCTTTTATCCTGTCTTCCTTCTCTCACCCCAACCGGTCCTGCCGGAGGTTTCTTCCTGTTAAAAGGGAGTTTTTCCTTCCCACTGTCGCCAAAGTGCTTGCTCATAGGGGGTCATATGATTGTTGGGTTTTTCTCTGTATCTATGAAGCGCCTTGAGGCGACTTTTGTTGTGATTTGGCGCTATATAAATAAAATTGAATTGAATTGAATCTACACGACTCTACAGGTATGTCATGTGGACCAACTGCTTTTCATTCTTCATCCTCTTCATAGCTGCCCCCACTTTGCTAATTACTGCCCTTCACTGATTCACTGACTTTCCTGTATCCCTTCTCCTCCCTCTCTCCTTTTCTTCATTCATCAGCTCCTAAAAAGACTCCTTTATCTTTTCAATGATTTTGCAAATCAGTTTATGTCACATTCTAAAGATCTGACATGTGGGGTACCGCAGGGTTCAGTTCTGGGTCCTATTCTTTTTCTTTTGTACATGTTACCTCTAGGACTTATAATTAGGCAGTTCCCTGAGGTGTCTTATCACTTCTATGCTGATGATATTCAGCTCTATTGCTCTTTTAAGCCAATGGAAGTCCATAAACTGTCCTGTTTAATTAAATGTTTAGCTTCCATTGAATAGTGGCTTGGTCACAACTACTTACAGCTGAACTCTGAGAAATCAGAAACATTAATTATTGCCCCCGACAACCAGATATCTCTAATCAAACAGCATCTTGGTTCTCTTGGCTCATCTGTTCACCCAAGCCTCAGGTACCTTGGTGTGATCTTTGATTCTGCCATGTCCCTAGAACAACAGTGTCGTCAGTTAATTAGGAATTGCCTTTTTCAGCTAAGAAACATCTCCAAACTGCAAATTTTGCTGTCCAAATCTGAGTTAGGAATGGTTATTCATGCTTTTATTTCATCTCACTTAGATTATTGTAACAGTCTTTTTCTTTGTCTGAGCAAAATGAATCTTGACCATCTCCAGTTAGTCCAGAATGCTGCTGCAAAGCTTTTAACTAAGATACGAAAAAGAGAGCACATTACACCAGTGTTACGTTCATTACACTGGCTTCCAGCCTGAGATCATCTAATCAAAGGCTGTTGGTAGTCCCACAAACTTGTTTTAAGACCAGAGGAGATAGATCTTTTAGAGCGGTGGCCCCCAGGTTGTGGAATGCTCTCCCTCCATCATTGCGTTGCCTTGATTTTATTTATTCTTTTAAAAAGCAGCTTAAGACTCATTTATTTAAATTGGCTTTTAATTAGATTTGTGCTGTATGTTTGATCATTGATGTATTTTATGTATTTCTGTTTTATATTATTGTGAAGCACTTTGTAGTTTTTATCCTGTGAAAAGTGCTATATAAATAAATTGATTTGATTTATCTTTTCAATGGTCTGTTGTCATGTAGCAGTGAAGGCTTGATATAGGACCCAAAATGCAGACTAATTGGGGAAATTAAACTTAAACACAGCTTTATTGCTGAATGACTATGTACATAAACCAAGAAACCTAAACTGAGATACCAGCCGGAACACACAGCCAGAGGATGAGGGAGATCACCACACTGGACGGAGGGAGACACAGACAGTAAATACATCAGAGGGGTCAGAGCAGAGATGAAACACCTGTGGAACACAGGTGAACAAAATCAACTGACGAGACAGGGAAAGAACAACCAGGAGGTGCAGGTGCGTCCGCCTCCTCTGCACGGCACCGCATGCCACGCCCCGCCACATACCCCCATCGCCCGACTGAGGCTGGGGAACCATCCGGCCGAACCTACTCCCCCCACCGCACGCGGGAGAGGGGATCAGCCCGGACCGTCTGCGCCCCCGGGCCCTGGCCAAGCGACGGGGAGTTGTGAGTTCAGGTGGCCGCCCGCAAACCCAGCAGCGTCGGCGAAGCTGGTCCGGAGGTCGGCTGCGTGGCAGGTGCATGCGGCGCGGTCGGCACGGTTGTGCGCCCCGGCTCTCAGGCAGCTGGGCAGATGTCCGGCAGGCACCGGCCTCTGGTGGAGGTGAGGCCGCTCTGCTCACCCCGCCGACCTCGGGCTTCGGTGGCGCGTACTCCCCTAGCACGGGCACCAC